ATTGTTCATCTGCAGAAGAAGTTCAGTGTGCTCTTATCGTGTTTAATGACATCCAAACACTTAATCGGGAATGTAAGCTATCATCATGCCAAATTTCAGCTCAATACGTCCAGTGGTTTATGCGTGATTGAACTTCAAACAAACAAACACACAAACTTTCACATTTATAATATTAGTAAGATATAAATATTTAAAAATATAATATAATTTTTATAAAGGTACAACAATTACAAACTCTTTTCTTTTCAATAATTTATTCACGGTTCTCATGGGGAGTAAACATAACATTTTGGGAAGTTTTACAAATAGTATATCTTCGATGAGAAATTAACTTTATATATTTGTATTATTAACTACATAATTGTTACAAATACCATGACAAACACACAACAAACACAGATTGAATTTTAATATATAGATAAATTAAATAAACCATCTGTTTAACATTAAATGCAAACTCAAAGCAAAGTCAATGTTTATCCACAAATCTAGGGAATTAAAACGCGTTTTTTTTAAATTGACTGGGGATAAAAAGTAAACATTACACAAACACATTATATATAAATAAATATATGTATATGTACGTGTACATAAATGCAAACATATCAATTATTTAGAAACGTAACACAAAACAACAAATAGGCCTCGGAAGGCAGGCGGTTGGGTTGACGACGTGACGGCGATTATTTGAACGCCTTCTATGTGAGGGACGCAATAGTTCATACTTTTGGACCAAACGAACTCGTATTAGAGTTTTGGATAAAACGACCCGATCGAATGGTCCACAGTGAAACGTACAGTCTATTTCATAAGTTTACTCCACAATACACAATTGTAATTCTGGTTTTGCCTGTACTTTTGGACCAAACGATTTTGGACCAAACGAACTGTTTTACAACTTGTGGACCAAACGATTTTGGACCAAATGAAATACTCCCCAACTGGATGATAAAACGATTTTGGACCAAACGAACTGTTTAACAACTTGTGGACCAAACGATTTTGGACCAAACAAACTGTTTTACAACTTGTGGACCAAACGATTTTGGACCAAATGAAATACTCCCGATACAAAAACCCTACAATATGCGGATGACATCCTGATATACACAAGTCATACTTCAGAATTGAAAGCTCATGAGACCCTACAAATAAGCCTAAACAGCATCAACACAGAATTTGACCAACTAGGTATGCAATTCAATGCCACCAAATCAAAAATAATATCTTTCACGAACAAAAGGAACCCTACCCATTACATCCACAAAATAGATAATCAAGAAATTCCCCAAGAAGATGAAGTTAAAATACTAGGAATCCTCTTTGATAGCAAACACAAATTCAAAAGACACATAGAAGTGCTAGTGGCATCATGCATGCGAGACATGGATATCATAAAGTCCCTTGCATATGGCGTAAAGGGCGCACATCAAAAATTTCTCCTCAATATATATAAAGCTATGACTAGAGCAAAGATAGACTATGGTTGCTGCATATTAGATAAAATCACAAAAAGGCAATCACAGGATATAGAAAAAATACAAAATGCAGCACTAAGAATATGTCTTGGAGCCATAAGAACGACGCCAATTCAAGCCATGCAACGTGAAACCTTGTTAATCCCATTACACATGAGAAGGGATCAAATTAATGAAAATTTAGCACTTAATGTAAGCAGAGATAGCTCACATCCTGCTTATTTAAGTCTACACCAATTAAGTCTTTATGTCAACCACCACAAATTTTGGGAAAAGAAAAAAACACCTACAGCAGTGAACGCCCTGGAAGAGTACAGTATTCACAATAGGACATCAATAAACAAGGAATACAACCCCAAACACAAGTTTAGTCTCTCCAAACCAATAGAAATGACAAACATTAATGCTATACTTGAAACTGACCTAGAAAAAAAAAATACAACAAAACCGTCACAAACAAACTTGTCTTGTACCAAACAGCAATGCAGATAATAGAAGCCTATACAGGTTACTCATCAATTTACACAGATGGCTCCAAAACAAAATCGGGAGTAGGAGCTGGAATCCATCTGGAAGGTAGCCATCCAGGCATAGGCATTAGGCTTGATAACAAAACTTCAGTAGTATCTGCAGAAATATATGCTATACACAAAGCCTTAGAACAAATATCTCTTTTTACCGAAAAAAAAAATGGGTTATTTTCACTGACTCACAAGTAGCCATACAAAAGATTAAGAAAACAATAGATGGACAGTGCAACGATCATTTAGAATTAGAGATTGTAGAGCAGCTAATATCACTCAACCAGAAGACCATTGTGGTGCAGTGGATACCAAGTCACATAGGATTACCTGGCAATGAAAAGGCTGACAAACTGGCCAAGACCGCAGCTAATTCAAATGAAGCCATAGACAAAGATTTCATTACACCTATGTCAGACATAAAGGTTTATATTAAACATAAATACAAGATTAAAGCATATACAGAATTTGACAACAATGTTAAAGGACAATGGTACAAAACCATTCAACCTAAAGCACCTCAAAAGCCATGGTTTTGCAGCTACAGGCTAAGCCGGGCTGACACTACACTAATTTGTAAATTAAGATTTGGCCATGTATACAATTCTATGAGACTATTCCAAATGAAAAAGAGGGAATCCCCATACTGCACCAGGTGCGAACCAGGACATCATGAAACAATAGAACACATCATTACAGAATGCCCAGCTTATAATAGAATGAGACAATGCTTTTATACAAAAATTAAAACAGCAAATAGGAATCTACCACCAAATGTACAAACACTCCTAATGGAAAAAAATTGCAAGCTATGGCCACCATTACTAAAATTTCTAAAAGATATAGAAATCCAACTTTAATAATAGCCCAACAAGATACAAAAATAAAATTCACAAACTAGCATCTTTTTGACATTAAAAAAAAACCCCGGGAAAATTTACTTAGGAAGTAGTGTGGCTACGTGGTTATTTTGAACCAAGCCAGCTTTTTAAAAGCGAACTAGAAGAAGAAGAAGAAGAAGAAGAAGAACATTATGGAATGAAATATTCTTCTAAGGCCAAATGGGAACAAACAATTGTAGGATTATTATTATCAGCTGAGTTATAAAGTTATGAATCATCTGCTATTTGGTTTGTTTACATTATGTTTTGTTCTTGTAAATAAATAGTATTGATTTAGTTTACTTAAAATGAGTTCTAATAATTAATTATTCTATATTGGCAATGAGAAAATGCCTAGGAAAACAGACCAGTCTCAGTATAAGAGTGTAATTGACTGTAGTAACATGTCTTGCATACAAGATAGAATGAGCAGATTTTCATTTAAAGAGTATAATAGTGAACAATTGTGGGAAGACTACATAACTCGTTTTGAGTTGACCTGCAGAGTTAAGGGACTGGGTGGTGCTAACACAGAAGAACAAGCGGCTCGGCGAGATCTTCTATTGGCTAATATCGGAGAGGAGCACCTCAGGGCACTGTCGGACCAGATGTATCAAGGGCCTGGGAGGAGTGCACCAACGACGAAGTCAAAGAGGAAGCCAACCGGTTGTTCAAGCCTACAAGGACCCTTTTTGCAACAAGGTTTGAGTTTGAAAGAGCAATAAGAAAAGATGGTGAGACATTCATTTTGTTTTATAACAGATTGAAGTCTTTGGCTAGAAGTTGTAAATATGGAGATAGCTTAGATGAACGAGTACGAGATAGGTTTGCAGTAGGAAGCAACTGTCCAGAATTTGAAGTCGAAGTCAGACAAAGATGGCCCGAGGGAGTTGATAACCGAGGTGAGCGTGTTAAGTCAACAGTAGTACTAGAGTTAGCTCAATCTATGGAACGCGCGAGAGAAGAAGTTTCCAAACATTCGTGTAAAAATGAGATTTTCAAAGTAAGTGACAGTAAGGAAAATAGGAAACCAGAGGTACAGAAATCTACTGGTTTTAATAGATGTTATAGATGTGGGTTTACACATGACCCTAGTGAAAATAGGTGTCCTGCTGTTTCTGCTGTGTGCAAGAAATGTTCAAAGAGAGGCCACTTCGCAAGAATGTGCAAAAGTAAAAATAATTTTGTCAAGAGAACAGACGGTAATTTGAGAAAAGTAGATGATTCTTGTGATCAAACTTACGATGATGAGTGTAGTTCTGATATTGATGTTAGCGGAACACAAATTAGGTCAGTTAAGAGTAAGGTTCCCAGAGCTACAATAGATGTAGAATTGAATGGGTATAATGTTAGAATGGAGTTTGATTCCGGGGCTCGGGTAAGTGCTATAAGTTTGTCTCTTTGGGATAAGATCAATTCAAGTGGCGAATCTCTCAAAAAGACGTCTGATGTCATCACTGGCTACAGAAAAAATAAGCTGGAAGTCATGGGTAAGACTTTTGTGGACGTTACTTTACGTAATCGTACTAAGCGATTGCCGGTTATTGTATTACTAGAAGATGATGTTCCATTATTTGGGTTGCCGTGGAGTGTAGCTTTCAATCTTAATTTGCCTAGGGAAGTAAGGGTTAGGCGTATTGACAATGGAAAGACAAATAGTAAAGAGACAGGTAAGAATGAAGAAAGTTATAGAAAAACGTCATTGTTATCTTTATTGGTGTATTTTACGACTGTTGTTATGCTATAAGTAGGCTAATATTATTTTATAATTTTTTTTTAAGCGTTATGTAATGTTTTTTATCAACATTCTTCTGTCCTGAAACAGCGTAGCAGTAGCCTATGACTAGCAGTTGCTCTACTTATGTATGTAGTCCTAAAATAAGGACGTGAAGACGAGTGAAACCCCAAATAAGGATGTGAAGACAAGTGAATTAAACCCCTTAAACAAGTATTAGACCTAATTCACTTTTTCAATTTGAATTATTTTGTTATTTATTACGTTACCCTGAATAAAAAGTTAAATGAAGAAAATAATTTATATTTTTACGCCAAATACTTATAAATCAGCAAGATTAAGTATAGTTTCCTATGACTAATTTACAGAGGAACAGGAGAATTACCTTGATCAATAGTTCTTTGGTTGGTTTTATTTTGCATTCCACCATATAGACTGCACAGTCTTCAAAATCATCAACATATTCAGCTGTGTACGTTGACAAATACTCTTCACAGTTACCATAGAGCTCCACAATCCTTGCCTGTTGACAATATACCATCTAATCATCAACATATTCAGCTGTGTACGTTGACAAGTACTCTTCACAGTTACCATAGAGCTCCACAATCCTTGCCTGTTGACAATATACCATCTAATCATCAACATATTCAGCTGTGTACGTTGACAAATACTCTTCACAGTTACCATAGAGCTCCACAATTCTTGCCTGTTGACAATATACCATCTAATCATCAACATATTCAGCTGTGTACGTTGACAAATACTCTTCACAGTTACCATAGAGCTCCACAATCCTTGCCTGTTGACAATATACCATCTAATCATCAACATATTCAGCTGTGTACGTTGACAAGTACTCTTCACAGTTACCATAGAGCTCCACAATCCTTGCCTGTTGACAATATACCATCTAATCATCAACATATTCAGCTGTGTACGTTGACAAGTACTCTTCACAGTTACCATAGAGCTCCACAATCCTTGCCTGTTGACAATATGCCATCTGTTTATATCATACGGCATACACCATCTTTACAAATATCATGTAAAACCACACCTCCAATAACATTAATTTAATGTGAAATGAAATAAGTAAACACAAAATGGTACTTAACTAGAGTAATATAAGCAATAAGTATGCCACACAGGAAAAACATGAATAGGCAATAGGTAACACGCAACAGTTTTTTTTTTCTCCCAAACCATTAGTATGATAAAATTAAGCATAACAATTTTTCAATATTTTTTTCAAGCCCTACAAAATTGTTTCGAGGGAAATTGCAAAACTTAATGTTTAAGAGGTAAAAATATGGCTTGGTATTACAGCAAAATGTTTCATTCACTCCAAAAATTAATTTGATAAATTATTTGCCTGTTCGTTCGCTCCAATGTTCATTCAATCCAACGGGTACAGCCAACTCTAGAAGTAGACTAACTAGTAGAAAATATTAATTTTTAATTTTACTGTAGATTGGATCGAATGCATATTGGAGAGAACGATCAGTATAATTTAAATATGTAATAATCTTGAACTGTTGCATTCACTCCAAGATCGTTCGCTCCAAAAGTGATGGGTGTTGCGTTCCCCAATCTGCAGGCTCGTGGCGCTTGTATATTGTCGTGATAGTTTAGTATGAATCTTTTTGACCACTTGTTACCGTAAGTAAGACGGGCTAACACCTCGTCATATATTAAAACGTGACAGGGTTTTTTTTTTATTTCACGATTCTGAATGAATTACTTGACGGAATTTCACGATTTTTGTGTTGAAATAAATATAATTTTGAGAAGTAGGGAATGTCATTGTGGTTTTGTCATTGATTATAGGAAATAAGTAAGATTCTATAACCATTGCTATACGAATCGATGCTCACGAGCTTTAAAAAAAAAGCTTATGAAAATTTCTTTTGCTACTCAAATTTTTTAGGAAAGGTTGGGAAAATACAATGATCAGATATTTTAATTTACCTTATCAGCTTTTTGTTTACAATACGTTTTGAGCTGCTTAAACTATGCTTGAATTTGGAATAGAAATATTGATATAACTATATACATTTTTAATGGACTACTCGATTCCCGTACGTAGGACAAAAGATGTTATTATTGACACTACGTAGGACTCTGTTGCCACTGGTTAGGGTTCCATTATCATGTTAACGAAACCAATCACGAAAAAACTTTTCATCAGCATTGATATAGGTACATATTTTTGGTAAGTGAAACGTAAAGAAACGGAAGCTACCTCTAGGGTTTACTGTTATAGATTCTCCCTTTACTGCGCATATTAGGCTATATTATTTAAACCTTTTTTCCTTGGAGCAACAGGCAGTAGGTACGCCTATCTGGTTATAATTTACAAATATGTATTCCCTAATGCCTGTACGAACCAACTGTACCTATTTCATATTTTATTCCCAGGTTATTCTCTAGCATAGCTGTTGAGGGTATTCCACTTCATACAAAATATTGATTAACACTACAATTATGTGTCAAATTAAATGTTATGAAATTTACAACAAAAGTTTTGAATAAATATTCAACGTATTATGTTATGAAATAAAAACCAAACCAGAAGTTTTCGAACTAATCCTGCATCTTTGATTATTTAGTCAATGGGGCTATTTTATGTTAATCATTCCTTCAACACATCAATAACCTTCAAATGTGAAGAAATGTAATGAATGTAAACTTCGTGAAAATATGTTTTAAAATAAAACCAAAGCTGAAGTGTTTCAGCCATTCTGAATCCATTTCCTTTGATTTTAGCCATCTCCCATTATTATACTACTAATCATACGATTGGCTGATTTACATAAAACTACACAAATTCGCAAATTGCACAGTAAAACTGATTTCAACATTCTAAGACACAACGAAAAAGTCTCAATTGTAGGTAATGCTATCTCTGGTTTTATATAGTATACAGTACATTGCAGAATTAACTGGCATTAATTGGCTTAATGATAAATCACGATCAGCTGTTTTGAAGTAAATAAAAGTCAACAGTTAATGGCTACTAATGCTATTCATTTTTGAGAACATTTTACGTTGTATCTTATTTTATGTTAACATTTTGGGAATTTCATTATTTTTCCCGCGAACAGCCTCTATCTCTTTAATTGAATCCATCTATGCAACAGAACCTTAACAACACACCAGTAACAACTATTAATCACCACTGAAGCACTGTCAATGACTGAAACCCACCAACAAAACTGCCAGGAGCATCAGAGATCAGCAGTCGTGGGATTTATTTGCAATGGAAGTCCATAAAGATAACGAAACTATTCAGCACAAGTTCCTCAACATTTTATTCCAGAAACAAATGGTCATTGTTGAATTGATTTATTGTTTTCGACAAAGTAATGTTTGAGGAAGAAAAATAAAAAAAACATTCTACACTTCAAAGGGTCAAAAACTTGGCCAAAGAATTAGAAATATGCCATTTTATTATTCTTAATTATTATTACTGGAAATTTTAAATTTTACGTGTATTTGTACTTGTTGTAATTTTTCCGTAGTTGAAAGTTATCAATGGTATTTGAACAGAAACGGTATGGATCATAAACATAAACAAATAACGTCACTAGCTCAAACCAATGGTAACATTAACATATTGGTTTGGTCATTTTATTGACAGTTAAATTAAAAAATATCAGTACAAACACGTGTCCTTTTCTGCTAGTTACGTCATTTTGTTATAATTAATAATAACTGGATTAATGTATTTTTTTTACATACATAGCTTTCATAATTTTTGTTTTATACTCCATTGACAAGCCTAAATGTCAAATTCACACCTTTCTTATAAGCGTGACAATAGATCCATAATTTAATTTCAAGTACAATAGTTTTCATCACTTGGAGGGAAAGAGGCTCTTTTTGGTACAGAAATTCGATTGCGTACCAAAAAGACACTTTGGCTTTGTGTTATGAACACCTATTTTTATCATACTGTGTAAATAAATAATTAGTTGCAAAATTTGACTAAAAAAATAATTTGTATTTATATTTCAGTTGTTTACAAACATAACTATAAATATCGTGTGATTAGCAGCATTTTATAATGCACTGAGCCATACATTTGTCATTTTACAAAGCAAGCTTAGTTGTTCAACTAGATTCTTTTAAAACCCCATGATAAGGTAAATAATAGTGTTGCGGAGTTATGAGAGGGTATAATACATCTATGAGAGACATATGATCAAGAGAAAGGTATTCATGCATAAAATCTTTATACAGTATAGTAAAATGTTCGTTACGTGAAAACTTACGTTCCATGGCAATTAAACATTGCTTCTGCATCAATGGACGAACCTAACATTTTGGATGAGCCTTTAAACCGTAATCGTACAATTAATTTTCAGAGTTTGTCTCTGCAAATAACTTTTCACAATGAATAACTATAAATAGGAACTTGGAAATAGAATCTAAAAAAACCGCAATAATGTATTGTCGTTATTTTGTCACCACTAATATTATTTAATCGAATCAAACTGTCATAAATATTAGCAAACCTAAACGAATTAGGCTTTCCAGCGACCCAATAATTACCAAAATCGGTCCAGTAGAAGTCTAGATTTAGTTGTACTAAGTAACAACAACATCTCTAATAACAACTATAAATTTGGAGACCGCTTAGTAGGCAACAATTTTTAAATGGGGAATAATTCGACCAAAGTGGAAGGCGATATTCTGAAATAGAATAAGATTTCCTACAAATTCAAAAAATGCAATTCTTCAAAATACTCAATAAACGCAGCATAAAGTTGGCTACTGGTGCAAATGGAAACTTGAAAACAACCTATTTAATGTATTTTTTCACCACAAATCTATATAAATAAAATTACAGTTTTGTCTGTACATTGCTTAGAATCATGCAGTTTTTGGTTATTTTTACGTTTCATAGCCTAAGAAAGCCGAAACGAGTCTTATCTCAATTTCTGTCTGTATGTCTGTTTGTCTGTCCATTCTGTGGTTGCGTCTGTAACGCCAAAATGTCATTTTACGCGGCCTACTCCTAGAAAACTAGAGTACTGATCAAGGTTCTAATCATTTGTCTGTATTTACTGGATTGGTGAGAGTGTCTTTGGCTATAAAAACCTGGCCTCGCTTCTTTGAAAACAAAATAACGTGTTATCAAAAACCCAATTTTGTTCGATTTTTGTCAAATTTTCTCCTAATGTTTACTATTACATTTGATGAAATAACGATCAGCTGTTTGGATTAGTTCTCACTTCTAGCTGTCACTGATATGTTTACAGTAAAAGTTGTTTACAAATACCGCAACCATTTGAGTTGGGGAGTCTGTGGCCCAGTCAGAGCGCCACATACTCTGAGCCCAAGGCAGCGATGTCGTGGGTCGGAGCCTGCCACTACTTTTTATCAATTCATTTCACCCTTGTACTGTATTGGCTCACGACTCAGTAACTTAAAAATTGGTAAATGAAAAAAGATTCTTTGAATTTTGATCTGTTTAATGCTAGCATGCGTCAAAACTTTGTCGTGATACGACCATAA